GTATCGCCTATTGGAGACTCATGTGGCGCAACACCTAGGACTGGGTATAGCTAACTGATGACGGCTACTAAGCCAGAAACATGCACTTAAGTTTCTCTTGTATTTTTCGATAATGCCATTTTGTCTATACCAGTAACCGCTGTCTGGCTGCTGGTGGGGCTCGACAGTAAGCCCCAAGGCACAAGGGGACGAGTATGCCCCGTAGCCAATTGGTAAGTGTCCATCTACCAAACCCTAGCTCCTTATATGTGACAGTATGAGTGTTCTGAATAATTTCGTAACATTTACGTAGCTTATGTTAAGTAAAATTCCTCTACTTGGTCTTCGCTTCCTTTTCTAGGAATCTCAGAGGAGAGGAAAAAAACAGGGCCAGTTAACTATTGATCCCTGGCCCGCCTTCATTGATACTAGGGCAAATACCGACACGCAGATATTTATTGAAAGAGGTGGACGACTGTTTGCTCAGGGAAAAGACGAATCCAGTAAGTGTTCGATTTTTCTGAGTCATAGTTCTACACGGATGTTGTAATGACTACTAACTTCCGTATTCTGATCCTTCTTCGACAGCTTTAGAGACTAAATTACGACTATTGTTCAAGTGTTCAGGGAATTATACTTCGAATTGGCATGAGTACTTTTTTAAATCTAAAATAGTGATTTCTGGCAATAGACTCGTCCTCTAACAGAGGGTTATTTCATAAAGTCAACATGTCCATGTTTATAAAGATTCTGCCATTTTAGGTAAAAAAACTTGTTAACCATTTTCAAAATTACGTCTAATGGCCTGGGGACCTACAGAAAACAGGAATGACAGCTACCGCCCCATATTTCATTAGGGCCATGACAGCTGTTGCGTAGTGAGGAGAAAGCAATTTAGCAGAATCAAGAGAAACTGAGAATGACAACTTCTGACTCATTATCGGATCGCAGATTAAGAGACTTTTAGATTTGCGTGCAAACTTAGTTGACCATTAGGTCGTACTCTTTATCAGTTCAGCCAGCGACGATTAGTTTAATCAAGGTTTTCCAGGAATTGACGTTCAACGATCTAGAGAATAGGCTACAAATAGTCATTTCAGTGTCAAGTGAAATTGTCGTTGCTATTTATTTCATTATCATTACTCGCGGCTTTACATCCGTTTGCGAGAGACGCAAATTGTAGGTCTCAGGCAACGCCGGCCGTATGTATTCCTTCCATAGATTCAGACAGATAAATGCATTCCACTTCCATACAACCCTGCATAAGACAAGTTACAAACAGCAGGGAATGAGCGCACGTCTTAACTATTGACACGTCTGATTCAGTGTTTAAGTGAATCTGTGTTCGTTTGTCAGGTCACCTCACTATCCGATTGACATGTGACCTAATGTTGATGGCAACTAAATTAGAAAATGGTCATCCGAGTCTCCACTATCATCGTAGGTAATAGTTACCTATGTCCGTATTGCGCACGTCATCGTATAATTTCTCAATGCAATCGGCTCTCCACCAGATTCAGCGTGCTTACACATCGTATGTTTTTACTAGAATGTATGGAGGACTGCTAGTGGGGACTCCCACTGCGTTCGCATGACTACTTCCAGTTCTTTGACGTAGTTGAATGGCCGGTGCACGATAGTGCGCTCTTGAAACTACTCCGCCATGGACACACTGCTGCCAATCGTAACAACCAGAGACGCAGGTGACACCATCTACGCAAGCACACCCATGCTCATAACGAGGCCCTTCATAGAATACACTGTGGGTATCTACCAACTTAATAATCGACGGACCTGGTGTATACTCCTACTTCTGGCTATGGCTCTAACACCAACTCTCATTCATGGCTACCGACGCCGCTTTCGTCACGACGGTCAAACCCGGGTATTGGCCTCTATCAGTGGGCTAATTCATGAGCGGATGTCCGGTATGTAGATGTCAAAACCAGAAATACCACTGAAAGACCAAACATCTTCCATTGCGCAAATACTGTCGATCGAACTTTCGAGCACCAATCGGCCGAATCCCACACTTCCAGACGCAATGCAGTTTTGCCGTGGTAGCTCCTGCTCATGCCTCCGAAAACCTCTCTATCACCATCATTCCTATTGGCAGTTCAACCATTGGTTTCCACGATTTCCACCGCATGCCTCAGCGGGCTGAAAGGAAACACAATGAGTTGCGCGTGAATTCGATTATGGTGCGAAGATGGCTAGTGATGGCCAAGCCGCCCCTAGGCCTGCCTTTACACCTGACTCAGATCCTACGGATTGAGACTGCCATAGAAGTCACATTAAGAAGACCCTATAGCAGCCTGGCTCTCAGTTCACCAATCGATCACTCTACGCAAGCGTATACTTCACATACATTGGGCTGCCTATGAGGACCGACAAAAATTCGTCATTTGATACTCTCCTAAGCCACGGCGCTTAGCGTACCACGATAGGCTGAATTTTGCCTCACAACCGCAGTAGAGGAGCCTCTCAGTGAATGTGGCTGGCTTCAAATTCGTGTTGTGAAGAAACATGTCACCAAGTAGGCCCATGCGATAAGTTATTATGCGCTTATGTGCAGTCCTGAGAGGGAGACCAAGTTTGCCGTCAGTTGGCAGCCTTCCAAGCCACGAATTTTAGCGTAACGTGATAGATTCGAGTAAGTATGATCATTCACAGTGAGGAATAGGAGTTTAGACAGTCTACCACCCTGCCTCTTTCCACTACCAGACGCCAGTCCAAGATTTTACACAAACGGGGTGGGCGGCACGCGTCTCACGTAGGTAGGAGTTCCATATACGTCACATTAAGAAAGAGCCCCCGCATCATGACGCAGTTAATCAGTCGGTCACTCAGCGAAAGCAAACACCGGACTGCCTGTGAGGTCCGAGTTATTCCGTCAGTTGACAACCTTACAAGTAACGGTTTCCAGCGGACCCTGATGGATCGAAGCGCGTCAGATCCGGCATATGCAGGAAATTCCGCTGAGAGCCGATCTCACCCCCTCTTCACTTTCTCTTACACCAACTGATTGTCCGAGCTGGTCAAGTTACTGATGTCGAGATTGGGAGGGATTTGCGACAGACCTAAGATCAGCCCGTCTACCCGCGCCACACCTGTGATCTGTCTCAAAACAAGCACGCCAGAATTTAACACAAGGAGGATAGTCTGCTCGCGTCTCACATGCAGCAGAATAGCTACCTGGAGAAGTTACAGAGCACACTTCCCATTTACCTGAGGCATGCTGATCTTGTGCATTTAGAAGGTGATGTCGGTCGTATCCTTGAGTGTTATATGTTTTCATAGGGAATACGTAGTGATGTAGTTTAGCCTGCAATGGTTTAATGCAAGTTTTATAGAGGCGCACCTGCCCAAGAATGCCTGTGTGATTGCCTAGTGCACGAGGACACTACGGACAAGGGATGACGAGTGTAAGGTAGTGGCCCACGCACTAGTTCACTTGGTTCTGTGTGATACATTCGCAAGTGACCCATCGGACCGGTGTGTGAGACGGATTTCGGTGTGAATTTGATCAGGATAGGATGGGGGCTACACAAACGGCTGCGGTGGTAATGGTGGCCATTTTGGTGGATAGAGAGTTGGTAGTGCAGGAGATAAAAGTGTTGTCGGGTATGCTTGGCACGTCGATCCCGCGGTGTATCACGCTGTTATGGAAGCGTGCTTGGCGAGTTAATGTGCGTGGTCAGTGCGGAGAGTGAAGACAAACGCGATAAATATGCGCCGGGGCTTCTGGCACCGATTCGCCGGTATCACTGCGGTAGATTCGCAGAGACCGGTCAGGCCAATGTGTGAGGCGAGTGTGCAATGAAATTGATGACAGGCTGGGATTGAGTTCACATTGCTTGTGTTGGAGCCGGTGGTGATGAGCTTAGCGCTTGAAGGAGCGTTCTTAATTTCCTCTTAGGCGACGGGGGTGGGAGCATTGGTAACCAGCGCTGTATCTGAAGATTGTGGCAGGAATGCTAGGGGTGGCGGTGGTTCACGGTTACGAGCCACCAGGAACGGGTTCACCAATAGTGGGGTGATCGCCGTTGTGGGTGCCATAGGGGTATCCCTTCATTCTCCTTCATGCGCTTGGCTACAATCACCAAACTCTTCGCATTTGGGCTTGCGTTTTCGGAAATTAGTCACTTTTATCTCATCTTCTTTCTTCCTTTCTATGACATCTGTCTCGTTTTGCCATCAGAACTTCCACTTGTCGCAAAACCACGGTTTCTTGAAATGCTCGAGGCCAAAATTACGAAGAGTATGAAGACGCATGGAGCTACGGATGACGCTGTCACTGCCCTTAGCCTCCAAACTTATCAAGAGGCTTTCGAACTCTATATTCAGCAGTGTGCTTACTATGGTCCGCTACTGGCTAAAATCAAATGGCAATATGAAACGTTTATTGACCAACTTCGCCAGGAAATAAAACGATTATTGCCTATAAAGGTTGTCAATTGCATATAATCTTGTCTTTTCTCATGGAAGTTTGAACATACCCTTAAAGACCTATAAGAATCTATCAAATGCTTTTTAGACGGTTTTTACTCACTTGGCAACAACATTGTCTAACATAGAAGCGAACTTAGGCGACGCTAGGTTTTTGCGCATTTAAATTATTTGGAGTATTTAAATAAATATACAAGGATAGTTCTTTACTCCTAAGTTCTTTCACAAGTCAGAGGAATTTTGGTAAGACCTTGAAAACAAAAATTCCTTCGCCGATTTCTCTTTACTATGTAATGCGCAATGCGCAAACAGACGCTACGTCGGTCATTCTCTCCTTTGTCAGTCAAAACGTTCAATTTCGAAACTGAAGGTAATAAACTGGAGTATACTAGCTGTTGACCATATACCATCGTACTGTACATCGGTGCATCCGGTACATCCGGTGCTATAACGAATTTGGAGGTGGCTTGATTCTTAGTAGGTATGCGCCCATTACTTAATACATGCTTTCAACTTTCTTGCAGTTTATTTTACTTTACTGTTTGGAATTTTTATCTCGGCCGTACAGGAAATGTTGTGGACAGTATGCACGGAGAGTGAACAACGTGTCAATCTTTTTCAGAACAAGGAAAGTAAAGGTAAATACAGTCGCGTGCTGTCACTCCTTCTAAAGGTAGACTTACACTTATGCTGGTACTCATACTTGGAACGATTTTGCTTCAGAAATAATGCAATTGCAAGAGGAGAAACAAAAGGCTTTACAGAAACTGGAAAAAATGAAACAAGAATGTTTGGAACTCGAAGTCACTGTAAGCTCCAGTCTTTTAATCCTTCTCTGTCGTCTTTAAACTGATAGTTGTATCTAAAGTCTTTAGGTATTATTTATAATTTTAGATCCTGTACACAAGTTGCCCATGAGGTTCTGGCAACAAGACAATAGTTTCGATACAGTCTAGGGTTATTTTACTGTCTTTTCTCTGTCTTCTGGTCCGCTACACAACTTTTTAGACGTCAAATAACGATAGGAGTGCTTCAAGTTCCGGCTCGTAAAAGTGATTAGCTATTTCTGAATAGACTTAAAGGGGGAAAAAATTTGGGATTAATCTTCAGTTTCATTCTAAGTAGGCTATACTCTGTCGTTTGGCTCTGAACTAGTTGGAAAAGTAGAACATAATTGGGAAATTTAGATCTACTTTGCACACGAACGTGCTGTGTGTATATGGACAATGTGTTGGGAGGATAAAGCACGTCACAGACAGTCCGAGGTCACGCCGGACCAGTCAACCTTGGAACAGTGGGAGG